AGTCGTAAACCATCAAAAATAAAAGTTTCAAAAAATCGTAGCAATTAAACCAGGGCCTCCGGGGCTTCGGAAGAAACGGTTTTCGGTACTATTTTTGGTGCTCTTCCAGCTCCAGATCGAAGTGCGTGATGAATTTCTCGAAATTTTTTTGGTAAATTCCGAAAAAATCCATGTGGTCCCCCCTTTAGTCGTAAACCATCAAAAATAAAAGTTTCAAAAAATCGTAGCAATTAAACCAGGGCCTCCGGGGCTTCGGAAGAAACGGTTTTCGGTACTATTTTTGGTGCTCTTTCAGCTGCAGATCGAAGTGCGTGATGAATTTCTCGAAATTTTTTGGTAAATTCCGAAAAAATCCATGTGGTCCCCCTTTAGTCGTAAACCATCAAAAATAAAAGTTTCAAAAAATCGTAGCAATTAAACCAGGGCCTCCGGGGCTTCGGAAGAAACGGTTTTCGGTACTATTTTTGGTGCTCTTTCAGCTCCAGATCGAAGTGCGTGATGAATTTCTCGAAATTTTTTTGGTAAATTCCGAAAAAATCCATGTGGTCCCCCCTTTAGTCGTAAACCATCAAAAATAAAAGTTTCAAAAAATCGTAGCAATTAAACCAGGGCCTCCGGGGCTTCGGAAGAAACGGTTTTCGGTACTATTTTTGGTGCTCTTTCAGCTGCAGATCGAAGTGCGTGATGAATTTCTCGAAATTTTTTTGGTAAATTCCGAAAAAATCCATGTGGTCCCCCCTTTAGTCGTAAACCATCAAAAATAAAAGTTTCAAAAAATCGTAGCAATTAAACCAGGGCCTCCGGGGCTTCGGAAGAAACGGTTTTCGGTACTATTTTTGGTGCTTTTGCAGCTGCACATCGAAGTGCGTGATGAATTTCTCGAAATTTTTTTGGTAAATTCCGAAAAAAATCCATGTGGTCCCCCTTAGTCGTAAACCATCAAAACCAAAAGTTTCAAAAAATCGTAGCAATTAAACCAGGGCCTCCGGGGCTTCGGAAGAAACGGTTTTCGGTACTATTTTTGGTGCTCTTTCAGCTCCAGATCGAAGTGCGTGATGAATTTCTCGAAATTTTTTTGGTAAATTCTGAAAAAATCCATGTGGTCCCCCCTTTAATCGTAAACCATCAAAAATAAAAGTTTCAAAAAATCGTAGCAATTAAACCAGGGCCTCCGGGGCTTCGGAAGAAACGGTTTTCGGTACTATTTTTGGTGCTCTTTCAGCTCCAGATCGAAGTGCGTGATGAATTTCTCGAAATTTTTTTGGTAAATTCTGAAAAAATCCATGTGGTCCCCCTTTAATCGTAAACCATCAAAAATAAAAGTTTCAAAAAATCGTAGCAATTAAACCAGGGCCTCCGGGGCTTCGGAAGAAACGGTTTTCGGTACTATTTTTGGTGCTCTTTCAGCTCCAGATCGAAGTGCGTGATGAATTTCTCGAAATTTTTTTGGTAAATTCCGAAAAAATCCATGTGGTCCCCCTTTAGTCGTAAACCATCAAAACCAAAAGTTTCAAAAAATCGTAGCAATTAAACCAGGGCCTCCGGGGCTTCGGAAGAAACGGTTTTCGGTACTATTTTTGGTGCTTTTGCAGCTGCACATCGAAGTGCGTGATGAATTTCTCGAAATTTTTTTGGTAAATTCCGAAAAAATCCATGTGGTCCCCCCTTAGTCGTAAACCATCAAAACCAAAAGTTTCAAAAAATCGTAGCAATTAAACCAGGGCCTCCGGGGCTTCGGAAGAAACGGTTTTCGGTACTATTTTTGGTGCTCTTTCAGCTCCAGATCGAAGTGCGTGATGAATTTCTCGAAATTTTTTGGTAAATTCGGAAAAAATCCATGTGGTCCCCCCTTTAGTCGTAAACCATCAAAAATAAAAGTTTCAAAAAATCGTAGCAATTAAACCAGGGCCTCCGGGGCTTGGGAAGAAACGGTTTTCGGTACTATTTTTGGTGCTCTTTCAGCTCCAGATCGAAGTGCGTGATGAATTTCTCGAAATTTTTTTGGTAAATTCCGAAAAAATCCATGTGGTCCCCCTTTAGTCGTAAACCATCAAAACCAAAAGTTTCAAAAAATCGTAGCAATTAAACCAGGGCCTCCGGGGCTTCGGAAGAAACGGTTTTCGGTACTATTTTTGGTGCTTTTGCAGCTGCACATCGAAGTGCGTGATGAATTTCTCGAAATTTTTTTGGTAAATTCCGAAAAAATCCATGTGGTCCCCCTTAGTCGTAAACCATCAAAACCAAAAGTTTCAAAAAATCGTAGCAATTAAACCAGGGCCTCCGGGGCTTCGGAAGAAACGGTTTTCGGTACTATTTTTGGTGCTCTTTCAGCTCCAGATCGAAGTGCGTGATGAATTTCTCGAAATTTTTTTGGTAAATTCTGAAAAAATCCATGTGGTCCCCCCTTTAATCGTAAACCATCAAAAATAAAAGTTTCAAAAAATCGTAGCAATTAAACCAGGGCCTCCGGGGCTTCGGAAGAAACGGTTTTCGGTACTATTTTTGGTGCTCTTTCAGCTCCAGATCGAAGTGCGTGATGAATTTCTCGAAATTTTTTTGGTAAATTCCGAAAAAATCCATGTGGTCCCCCCTTTAGTCGTAAACCATCAAAACCAAAAGTTTCAAAAAATCGTAGCAATTAAACCAGGGCCTCCGGGGCTTCGGAAGAAACGGTTTTCGGTACTATTTTTGGTGCTTTTGCAGCTGCACATCGAAGTGCGTGATGAATTTCTCGAAATTTTTTTGGTAAATTCCGAAAAAATCCATGTGGTCCCCCCTTTAGTCGTAAACCATCAAAAATAAAAGTTTCAAAAAATCGTAGCAATTAAACCAGGGCCTCCGGGGCTTGGGAAGAAACGGTTTTCGGTACTATTTTTGGTGCTCTTTCAGCTCCAGATCGAAGTGCGTGATGAATTTCTTGAAATTTTTTTGGTAAATTCCGAAAAAATCCATGTGGTCCCCCCTTTAGTCGTAAACCATCAAAACTAAAGGTTTCAAAAAATCGTAGCAGGTGAACCAGGGCCTTCGGGGCTTCGGAAGAAACGGGTTTGGTACAATTTTGGTGTTCTTTCAGGTGCAGGCATCAAAGCGATCTCGCACGGTCGATTTCTCGCGGAATCGGGCTGGGAAGGCCTTGGCAGGCTCGGACGATGCGGGTGGGAGCAACCTAAACGCTACCAGAAGCCATGTTAAACGAATTTTGCAGGCATTCGCTCTGGACAGATTTTATAGCATTTTTCAACGGCTTTCCAATGGTGTATAAATCATCGCGATCGCAAATTCCTACGCGCCGGAATAGCGTCGAGAATGCGGAAATGCTCCAAATGAGCTGAATTGAGCATTTTAGGTGTTTTAGCTGCTATTGGGCGAAGGAGCGCGATGGGACGGCTAAGCGAGCTAGCACCCCAGAATCAGCGTTTAAAGGGCTTTCGAATGGTATACACATCATCGCGATCCCAAATCCTACGTTCCGAAACAGCGTGGAGAATGCGGAAATGCTCCAAATGAGCTGAATTGAGCATTTTAGGTGTTTTAGCTGCTATTGGGCGAAGGAGCGCGATGGGACGGCTAAGCGAGCTAGCACCCCAGAATCAGCGTTTAAAGGGCTTTCGAATGGTATACACTTCATCGCGATCCCAAATTCCTACGTTCCGAAACAGTGTGGAGAATGCGGAAATGCTCCGAATGAGCTGAATTGAGCATTTTAGGTGTTTTAGCTGCTATTGGGCGAAGGAGCGCGATGGGACGGCTAAGCGAGCTAGCACCCCAGAATCAGCGTTTAAGGGGCTTTCGAATGGTATACACATCATCGCGATCCCAAATTCCTACGTTCCGAAACAGCGTGGAGAACGCGGAAATGCTCCAATTGAGCCGAATTGAGCGTTTTAGGTGTTTTAGCTGCTATTGCGAGCTAACCCGGGTCTCCCAGGTCTCGCACCAAACTTTTTCCGGCACTATTTTAGAGCTCTTTCGAATGGCATGCGTCGCTACGCAGAGATTTCTCGACAAATTTTGGCAAATTTGAAAAAAATCGACGTGGTCCCCCCTTTGCTGCAAAGCGGCAAAAAGTGATCACTTCAAAATGGCAACCCAAATTAAAAGAAAGTCTTACGTAGTCGCTTAAATATTTGCGAGTAAAAGGATCGACGGTTTTTACAAATAACTTTTCGCGCAAAACCACTTTTTCGAAAACTGATACGTCAGCAGCAAGAGCGCGAGTATTTCGCAGCTAATGACGTATCGGTGCTAAACCGTGAGTGTTGGACCCAAAGCACCGGTCGGTCTAGTTTACCCCTCCCCCCCACCCGAACCAACCTTTAGCGTGCCCTTATGGGTATGCTAAGGTCCCACTGTAGGGGAGGGGCAAATTGAACTAGACTCGTACCTTTTTTATCCATGTTTTGACTTATTTATTATAGAGGGTGTCCAATAAAAAAACACCCCCTCTAACTCGACGCAGAAGTGTCGGATCGGAATGATAGTTACACCGTGTAACTATCATTCCGATCCGATACTCGAGTTAGAGGAGGGTGTTTTTTTTGGGACACCCTGTATGATCCTTGTTTTGACTTATTTTTCTTATGTTATAAATGTTGTTGTGTTTTGTTGTATTGGTGGTGTTAGACACACAAAAACACAGAAGTCTAAACAACAGTATTATCTGCACAAAATTATTGTATGAATGGTATTTGCCGGTGTCGGTTTATCAAAAAGCTAGCGCGTCAACGGTGTGACGAATAATAGTGCTCGACTTTTTTGCTCGTACCACGAATGCTGACAAGTGTCTGTTCGGGTATCATTTCTGGGGTCCATCCATTTATTCAAACAGAAACCTACTTCCTTTTCCCTCGCCAGTGGCTTCTGGAATTGGACCTCTTTGTCTCGGGTCATTCATTTGTCCCATTTCGATAGACAATGGATTATTCGAGGATCTATGCTTTGTTTGAACAGGAGCTTTTCTCTATAAATACGACTGCCGGTCATTCGGTCAGCAACGGAAAATGAGCCTGAAATTCCTGCTATTCCTTTCCCTCTTTGCGGGGGCTTATGCTTTCAACAACATCTTCCGGCGCTTCTTTGAAGATCGGCGAGGCGACAACTTTCTGGGAGAATCAGAGGATGTGGTCTTGATTACCCTTTCTCCGCCAACTACGCTACCCACCGAAGAAAATGAGGAGATTGCTAAGCTTCAGGTTATTGAGGAGCTCGAGGTGGTATCCTCTACATTTTCACCAGTTGAGGAGATAGACGAAGATATAAGCTCTGCCGAGCCTGCTGTCAGTGGAACTAAGAGCCGAGGCTGCACAGGTCACCTTCTAAGACTCCCCGAGTTCATTGAAAGGTATCAACTGTATCAATTAACTCTAATTTTGTCTTAGTCTAAACTGCACAGCTGCCGATGAATGGAGAGCTATTGCCGAGACCCAAAATAGTCCAAGGAGGGAGCTCCGACAGATGATGACCGTCTGGGCTGTGAAATACGAGGTTTTGGAGGGTCTTGAGAAATGGTTCGAGGATCTGGAGACTGCGCACACGAAGAAGTCGGAAAAGTATGCTGAGGTGCTTAGCAATGTGGATACAATGCTGCAGGTATTTACCAAGGGGTAAAAAGGTGCAACTTCTTTAGAAAATTGATGAATATGCTAGAGACGAATCGTTGTCTTTGGTTGATGAAAGGCAAGCCGTTGCTGATCTTTATGAGAAAGAGGATCGGGTTGTGGTAGAGGTTAGAATTGTGAGAATAGCTTAAAGACAAGCGCCATCCTAGGTTGTCAACCTAATCGTTCAACTCGTCCGTAGCTGGGCCGGCGAGAAGCTGCCGTTTCGTAAGATGCGCCCCCTTCAAGGAGTCCGCCAGATTTGGACGGAAATCTGAGAGAAGTTCGATAGCCAGCCTTATTAATTTGGCTGTCTTCCTGTTTATACTCCAAATGATGTACATATTGGTTATCAATGTATTTGCTGTGTGCTCAGATATCGAATAAAGTCTAAAAATTTATATAGTTAGCCCTTTAATCACAGTTTCAATCACAAAGTAAGGTTCAGTCAACGTCCTCATCGGGGGCTTCAAAAATTTTGACGATAGGCTGAGCAGCTGTGGCAACAGAGTGAGACCCAAGAACGAAGTCGTTTTTGTTTTCATCGACTGGTTCCTCGTATTCCCCATCGTCTTCCTCCTCTTCGGTAATTTTTGAGAGTTGTTTGGTCTTAAAAATGGATTTTTAGGCTCGAATTAACTTAGAATTAAAATTTTTAGATTTGAAGCATACCGCATTATTGCATAGGGCATTTAGCAATCGGCCAACATCCGTATCCGAACTGTTCGAAGCCCAAGCCAGGCGTTCCTTTATGCTCTAAAAAGTCATGTATTTTCAAAACTTCAAAGCATTACCTGGGAAGTATCCGTAAAAATGTGAGCAGTAATATGATTGTCGATGTTGTTCAGCTTTAATAACAAACCCAACAAGCCCAAAAGCGAGGAAATCGTTCTTTTTAGGAGATTTATCTTTTTCTGGGCATTTATATGTTGATCTAGCATATCCAGGAGCTAAAATACAATTTTAAATAGGATTTTTCACGAACTTTGTCATGCGATGCAGCAAAAAGAACATCAACGTGTGATTTCGGCTCCGCTCTTGTCGTTTTTGTCTTGGCCACGAGTAGCGCTAAATCTAGGCGTATTATAGTTTCCAAATCCATACCGTTGATCGCGCGAACCTCACGCATTTTTTTATCGATGATTTTCTTTTCTTCAATGTATTGCTTTTCAGACTAAATTTTTGAGAGTTACGGAAAAGATGGAGTTTACCTCTAAACATTCCTCGAATTTTGAAACCAAATATTCTAGAGGGATTGGTGCTGAGAGGTTTACACCACTCTAAAGGAGGCTCTGAATTCTATCTAGGGTATCTATTTACCTGCTGCTCTCTTAATCGCTCAGTAACGAGCTGCGCGGTCATATACAGTAATCCCGGATGGTCGGATTGGATGCGATATCGATCTGCGGGAATCCTTTTTCCTTTTTGACCAATGGCTTACTTGTTTTGGGAGCTGCAAAAACAGAAACTGAAGCTTTGGTGCTGTGGACCTGTAGGCCAATAGCTCCCGGGTTATCCGAGTTCATTTCCGGGAATAGTTTCCCTATCGGAACTAGAGGTCGGTCGGTATCGATTGTCAGCTTGTATTGTGCCGTTCTTTCGGCATTGCAAGTTGCGAAGAGGAGGGGAAGCGGTAGTTGAAGCGTAGACAATGCGGTTGCTAAAATCCCAGGTGGAAAATTTCTCGAGCTGAACCTTGAGTCCTTGTATTATGGACGGAAATATGCAAATCGCGACTTGTCGGCCATGCTTCGGGATTTACAAAGAGGCTGATGGATAATGGGAATTCTTCGGCTAAAGTTTGATTTTCAGCCATATTAAGAAAGGCTACATTCCAATGTGAAGTGATCTTGCTGCATTGCCAGCTCTGATCGTAGGTTAATTTGATATTCCCCAGGGATGAAGCCCGAGCCAGAGCATTGCAGGGCTAAGGTTAGTGACGGGACTTCACCATTTACGTTATAGGCTCTCTAAAGAATTCTTTTAGCTCGAATGAATCGTGAAAATACCGAATGCCGGTCCAGCTCACCCCAATCCACCTTCAACTCCAGGGCGGTATTCTGAACTTCTAAACCCTATTTTTAGCTTGATTTTCAAAAAAATACGCTGAGCAGCCGTGTTCCCCTTCAGCGCCGTTTCCATCATGTTCAATTCTTGTGCTTTTGCATCAAAATTGACAAATCGAGCAGGGGGTAGTGGGAGACGATGGAGAGTTGGCTCGGTGCCGATATAGCCTGCGCTTACTTCACCCTTTGATGACATCATAGATAGTAGATGTTGGTATTGATCGCTAAAAACGATGGTTGTCTCATCAGCTCTGGCGTGAGCTTTAAGCACACATTTCCTACCCATAATGGCTCAATCGTATCCGAGTGGGAGAAAACGGGGCCTTAAAATTCCAAATCAATACGTTGTCCGAGTAGATGAGCACGGTATCGTTCGCCGTCCCAACGACTGTATGGATCGTGGATTTGTTTCCGGGCGTATCTGAAATTGATGGACAGATTTGGGTTGTAAATGATTCTTACTGTTTAAATATACCATCATCGACATGGCGATCCCCTCCAGGTTTACAAAGTATCGAATGTTCCCTCCAACTGTGAGCACGATGATTTTGCGGCGACAAAGGACAACTAAGGACGGCTGAATAAGGTCGATAGTTGTTATAATGTTTTTAGGATGTACCTGTACAGTATTCCAATCCGCCACATCTAAATCGATGACCACATCGCCCATATTTATCGTCCAATCGAACTAGATCTCGATATTCATCAATTTATTTAGATAATTTCCATACCGTAATTTTCTTTCCTGTGTTGCTCACACTAGCCAACAAACTGAATTTAACGGAGCTGACCTGAGAAAAAAACCTTGATTAGCGTACACATTTTACCTTTCCAGCATTAGTTAAAATTAGGGAATCCGACAGTTGTGAGTACACAATCGGACCTGGGTGTAAAGCGGGTAGGGGCGTTCTTTGGAAAACGCATTCTTCTCCCTAAAGCTTCAGCTAAAAAATCATTTTTAGGTTTTACCTGAAATAGCGTCAACCCACAACTTAATCCTTGCACGAATATTTGTGGTGTTTTTGTCGGTACCGCGCACATATTGTAGGAAGGTTCTAAAGAATTTGTAACTACCTGAAAATATAGATATCCCTAACCTTTCAAAGCGTGCGTGTAGACTTCTTCCAGTTTCGAGTTTTGATTTGGAGTTGCTAAATGATTTTGAATACAGCTATGTAATATAGCTTACTTGTTACGACTCGAAATAACAGTAGATGGTGTGGACATAAAACTGCTAGCAGACGCTTGTCAATTGCGGTAACAAACTTTCCGATTTCAAGCTGAATTTGGCAAACATACAAGAGGTTATGCAGATTTACCTGTATAATTGGGTTATTCAAATTGTGCTGAATAATCGTCGATTCGCCCACTTTTCCCTCATGACCACCCGGATCAACGACAATGATTGTTCCCTGCTCGGTTCCGATGCATAATTGTTCTAAAAATCAGAAATTTATCTGAAAAAAATGCTTATCTTACCTCTCCCCAACGTCAGCTCCCCCGTAACCATGCACGAAGCATTTGGGAATTCATTACGATACCAGTCAATAAATTTGAATAATGACATGTTGATTACAGCATGCAAATTGAGATTTAGGGGAGGCTTGTTCTTTTAGCTGGGGTTTTGTTCTGGCTTTGAAGCCAGTGGCAATGTTGCGGGTTGTCATGGAAACTGAAATAGACATCGGGGGGAAAGCGGCGCGAGGGGGTTGGATTTAAATAATATAGGTTTAGTTACAAAAAGGCTTCATCTCCGTGCTAAAAAAAACTTCAATTAAACAATCGGAAATAAGTTAATTCTATGATTATAAAGGCAGTTTTCTGCGAGATTTAAGAGCGATTAGTCGGCTTCTGCAACCTAGGAAAGTTTATTCAGATTGTCTTCTTTTTAGAAATTCATATAACAATAAAATTGTATATCTTTCAAGTTTCTCTGACCCTGTAGCGTTTCCTGTACCACTAGCTTTTTTGTTGAACACTTAAGATGCCGTATACAGTATCCCATTTCTTCCAGTTTCCTCTCATCTTCCAAGCATTAAATCCAGTCTCATATATTATTCCAATCCCCCAAAAACTTCCCCTCAAATCCATCGCCAGATCCAGGCAGTAGGTTGGAAATGCCAGCCGGAGGGCCCCAATTAAAACGGGGGGCCCCGGCGGTGCGAAGCGCGAAACCCTCAATTTCGACGGCGCCCATCTATAACACGCAGACGGAAAGGCATCAGGCGATCCTGGCATTCTCGTGGGGTTGGCTCGTGGTGGCTGGAGAGAAAAAAGTCAGCGGGTTGGCTCTACCAATAATGAGGAGTGGCACTCGTGTGAGTTACTTGGGATGAATTGAAAACAATATTTTTGGTTCGGGATTGGATTTCAAAGAAGAGAGAGAGAGAGAGCGAGAGAGAGAGAGAAAGCGAGAGAGAAGAGAGGCACAGAGACAGAGAGAGAGAGAGAGAGAGAGAGAGAGAGAGAGAGAGAGGGAGAGAGAGGAGAGTCTGTACTTTATCCACTTATTAGCAACCATTTTTGTCAATATTTACCCACGCTGTCACTATCGCTCCCACCCCCCAGATCCTGTTAATCCAGTACCTCCTTGAGGTGAGCGGATACAGGTTCAGTTCAAGGGCACTTCCCCTCAAAGGTTGATGCCCTTTTGAGGGACCCGAAGGAGCCCCACCAGGGGCTATGAGAAACAATAAAAAGTTGCGCAATGGGCGCACCTGGCCCCCGACGCGGAGTTGTGAAGGGGTGCCCCGGGTAGTTCGGACGGGGGCCTGTAAGGGTTGTGGAAGGGCCGTATGGTTGAGATTTACATCCCTTTGATGCGGCGGGGTGAAGGAGTATACGGTTTCAGGGTTTGTGTCAGCTGGGAAGTGGAGAAAATAGTTTTATACTGGAGTTGAGGTAACTTACATACCTTAAATCCGGAGCTACATCTAAAATACCGTAATCTAAAGCTAACCACAGCTTACTGATGTTTTTAGACTTCCATTTTATTTCAATTAAGTTTTCCCGGGTGTTTGAATCCGTTTTCTTGCCTTCATCGCTTTTCCTCCGCTTTTACAGGTTCAAAAACCACAACTGGAAGCTTAGACTCTCTATTTATTTTCATAAATCACATCCAATTCCGAATTGCGGTAACCTACACCATAATATCACCCTGCCCACCCTTAACCCTTTTTATTACCCACCCACAAAACCACAATTACCCCCCCCTCATTCTATTGTGCGCATATTTGAGCAAATTGTTCGCGCCTTCGCCCCTAGATAGGGCGCCCTAAAACATGTGTCGGCATGCCAGGTAATCCGATCTAATCTTGCAGGTGGTGCTCCCCTCCCAGTCGGGAGTCCTGAACCCGTGCCTCGGGCCGTTCGGGCCGGGCCGCCCGCTGCGCTAATTGGGCTGGCGGTGACGGTTTTTGGGCGGGGGAGCGCCTCCGCTTTTTTGTCACTCCATCAACGGCTTATCACCTTGTAGGTCAGAGGTCGGCGTGTGCCGTGTGTTGTGGGTAGTGTATTGTAGCTTATGTGCGTTTAAACCGTTTATTCCTCAACGTATCAATGGCGCTGATCCAAAACCCGTTTAAAAAACCAGTATGCAAATTTTATGCTCAAAAATTTACCACAACTATCAAAATCACAATACCCTCGAATTCGCGGCCGCCAAATCCAAATCTGGGCCCTAGGGCGAGTAATTATCGGCGGGCACGGAGACCGGAAGACTGGCAGAAGGAGGAGGAGGAGGGCGAGCCCGTCTATCCATCACCCAACAAGCTCCAGGAAGGGCCGATCGTCTCTTCTAAAGCTCACACGATTAATGAATGACCTGTCAGAACAATGGGCTTTCGAGGGGGAAACATGAGGACAGCAGAAAAATATTGATTTTTGTGCTTTATCTAGAGAATTCAGAACCGGAAATTGGAAGCAAAGGAAAAGCCAAAGCTAAATACCTCGTGATCCGCTTCTTGAGTCCTAGAAAAATTGCCAAGTAACTGATTTCTACATCAAGTTTTCACTAATTTAACTATCCATATGCTAAGATATACCCAAAATACCGAAGGATATCAATGGCGGCGGAAGAGCAATTATAGAGACGGGACCCACAGTGGCGCCAGGTGGTTGAGCCGTCACCGCGCTCCAGGATTAACGGAGCTTCAAAAAAGGAAGTCCCAGCGCCCGACCGGCGTAACCTTTAAATCTGGGAAGGCAGCTGCAGGATAGGTATGCAAAAATATGGTATCGTCAGGTAGAGGTGGGATTTGAAAGGAGGAAGATTGGATGAGCATGAGCTCAGGCTTCTCTGTATCTGAGATGAAGCTTGAGATTCACTTCTGGGTGGAGTCAGGCATGCTCAGGTTCAAGCTTGAATTAGGATGTTTGAAAAACTAAAAAAGAGCAAGTGTCCGGTTTTTCTGTGTTTTCTATCGTTTTAAAAAGGTCGGGAAGCAATAAATTAAACCTCAAGATGTCGAGGAAGTAGATTGCACGCCAATTTTTCGAGCTCCCGTAGTCAATGTAGCCGCAATTTAACTCCTTATCCCTCATTTCCGCTCAACACCTCGTTACTCCACATCTATGACCTTATAGTTGGGTTATGTGAAGGTTTTTCATGGCGGTCCCACATTGGTTGGTGGTGGCTATGCTCCTGTGTTCATGGCCAGCCATTCATCTCGCCCTCAGCTGCCCCCCCTCCCCCCCCCCGCGACCCTACAGTAATTATGGAGCTCCCCCCTCCGGCCCGTGCATGGAGCGGAAGCGCGCCTCGGGACAAAGGCTTCGAGACGGCGATTGCGTCTCCCCACGCACTGGTCTTTTGCGGTGAAGAGAAGGAGAGGCTGCACATTTCAAAACTCTCTTGGGCTTCTGAAGACTGGAAGTTTTGGGGAAACGCTTCGGCCACCCTCGCAAGATTGGGGCTTACTACGAATTTGTAAGTATGAGCTTGAACGTTGAGGTATTCTAAACGAAACCAGCGTGGTTTAGTACATTTTCCTAGCGTAATTTGTCTCTTAACAGAACCGAAGATGTAGAGTTATAGCTACTAAATAAATTAACACGTAGGATATCTTAAATAATTATACTTCCGTGTCTTTACTATCCAGATCCTGCCAGCCGGATCTTAACCAAATAAAGCTCCCCTCAAACAAAACCCCCGATTCCATTGTCTTGCCCAAAGTCGGTCCCTCACTAAACCACTGGCCCCTCAATTGCTGCCCTTTCACGGGTATTCATCGTAAGGCCAGACTGCCCGCCACATCCCCGAGGTGTCGAACGGAAGATTTTGATCAGTTAGCACCCAGTGGTTGGGCTTGTAGCCGCGGGGGATGCCTCAGGGTATAGTGAGGAGTGTGCCGAGCCCTCGGGCTGACCCGTTCGCGCTCTTTTTCGTCATTCCCAGCTCCATAAAGATTGAGGGGGATGATGATGGCGCGTGAAATCAGGAATCAGTTGGAAAAGTGGGAGGTGAGGATAGGAGAAGACTAAATTTTTCAGAAACCTGAAACGTGGGAGTTACATATTTAAGATGCATCCCCGCCCTTAAAACCAAACCCTTTTCAAACCTAGCACCCGAGCACCTCTGAGCGCCACATGTTGCCGGGTCATATCACGATCACCTGTGGTGGTGCTCCCCGATACCTCACCGGGGGTACATGGCATGCAAATTGTAGGGTTCTACGCCACGGGGGCTAGTGATCGCCCCAGGGCGTCGAGGCGGAAGAAGCCCTTTTCAACATGCCGCCAACCCCCGGACGCCCCCGAGAATGGCCCTGAATTTTTCATCAGCACCGCTTTACTCCCACTCCCCCCCCCCCTCTTTGAGGGGTAGTTAATTGACACTGAGCGCGAGGGCGGGATTGCGGCTTTCAAGTTTTAGGGTTAGTTTTGTAGGGTGTTGCTCCCCTAGCTTGAAAAGTATATTTCCCAGAGACCGTGGCGCGAATGGGCCATATATTGGCGGATTTGATGGGGGGCGAGCCGCAAGTCATCATCATCGCCGAGAGGGAACGGGGGGGAACGGGCCATAAAACGGGCATCGACCCTCGCGCCGGACGGGATATCCGTTCCCGAGAAGGCCGGGCAGGGTATGGCAGTATTTCGACGCTGGGAAGGTTACGGAATTTGTGGTTTGGAGTATAATGCGCGAGAGATGTCCAAAAATAGGAAAAATGACACCCCGAAGCTTGAGCTGCTCGCGCGGCTCGTCCTTGTAAGTTGCTTTGACTGGCGCGTGTTTTAAAAACAATCTTAAACTTTACAAAACGTTTATTTGGGCTCCGGAAAGGATATCGAATTTGTAATTTTGCGCCTAGGGCGCTGAACGTTTTTAAAACTACACCGAACTCAAGCTCCTAAGCTAAAGCCTGAACTCCTTGACAAGCTTTTTTTGTCAGTTACTTGGCCCTGCGCGCTTTAAAACCCGTTTAAAACCGAATTTGGTACGTATTTTTGAAACGGCTCCAAAACTATTTGAACTCCTTGCCAAGCCCTTTTTGTGAGTTACCTTGCCTGATGCGTCCCTTTAAAAGCGACTTCCTACCCCCAAAAATGCGCACACCCCCACTTGACCCT